TTCTTCTTCTCTTTCTTTGAAAGGTGAACCTATATTTAATAAGAGCAAGTATTGTAATTAATAAGATATGGTATTTGTCAAAAAAGCTTTGATTAAATGATTGCTCACCTCTTGGGATGAAAATGCATGAGATTGTTGTTGATGTGACATTGGCCGAACAGTGGGATGACTACTAAGTGAATCCTCAACCTATCATTCAATAAGAGGCTTAAGTTGTATATTAGCTCTAAGCAATTTAAAGTAATAACTAGTAAAAATAATTAAAATACCTGTTGCCTATGTAATGGGTTTGAGGGTGCAACAACTGGATCAACGGGCACGCCTGCAGCTTGCAATTGAGATTCCAAAAACTGAATTCGTGACTGAAAATTATATATTTTGCGTATTCCCACATGATGTATCCTATATTTTTAGAAATTTCATATCTGTGTAGTATCACATGTCCGTGATTTTAAGATCGTGTGTGGAGGAAGAGAAATTTTCCTAGATGAGGAGCTGAAATGGAGGAAAACATATATAGATCAAATTAGAAGAGGGAATAGGGCAGGAAACAAGAGAGAAAAACAGAGCAGATAAAACAGAAGATTTTGAAAAGGTTACATGAAAGAAAAAAATTGTTAACTCCATAATGGAATCATACTAATCAAATTTTAGACACCAAACAGTGGAGAGTTTTGACATGCTCAAAATTTCTGCCAGGTCATCAATCAAGCAAAGTCCCTTTGAATGTTCCTCAAAGGAATAAACCTGCAGCAAGTATGCAAAGCAGCATCCTTGGGCGATTTCTTTCAAATCATATTTTCCAAATACCCGTTTTCAATTTATTTTTCCAACTCATATTGTTTTGTGAAGTGGTAAACACAACTTCAACTAATTTTTGTATAACTTTTTTTGAAGTCGTGTTTTCATAACATAACTTTCCAAAAACCGACATGAGTATAGGAAATAACTTCAAAACAACTTTTGTGCTAGAACATGCCAGAAAATATTACCAGCTCTGGTAGTGGGAAGGGGAGACAAAATGAAAACCACTGAAATTAATGCATAAAAAACTTGAAATTATTGATTTAGCAAAATATTTCGTTAAAAAATATATATATATTTTTTAAAACGAAATATTTTGCTAAATCAATAATTTCAAGTTTTTTATGCATTAATTTCAGTGGTTTTCATTTTGTCTCCCCTTCCCACTACCAGAGCTGGTAATATTTTCTGGCTTGTTCTGGCACAAAAGTTGTTTTGAAGTTATTTCCTGTACTCATGTCGGTTTTTGGAAAGTTATGTTATAAAAACACGACTTTAAAAAAAGTTATACAAAAATTAGTTGAAGTTGTGTTTACCACTTCACAAAACAATATGAGTTGGAAAAATAAATTGAAAACGGGTATTTGGAAAATATGATTTGAAAGAAATCGCCCAAGGATGCTGTTTTGCATACTTGCTGCAGGTTTATTCCTTTGAGGAACATTCAAAGGGACTTTGCTTGATTGATGACCTGGCAGAAATTTTGAGCATGTCAAAACTCTCCACTGTTCTGGTGCCTAAAATTTGATTAGTATGATTCCATTATGGAGTTAACAATTTTTTTTCTTTCATGTAACCTTTTCAAAATCTTCTGTTTTATCTGCTCTGTTTTTCTCTCTTGTTTCCTGCCCTATTCCCTCTTCTAATTTGATCTATATATGTTTTCCTCCATTTCAGCTCCTCATCTAGGAAAATTTCTCTTCCTCCACACACGATCTTAAAATCACGGACACGTGATACTACACAGATATGAAATTTCTAAAAATATAGGATACATCATGTGGGAATACGCAAAATATATAATTTTCAGTCACGAATTCAGTTTTTGGAATCTCAATTGCAAGCTGCAGGCGTGCCCGTTGATCCAGTTGTTGCACCCTCAAACCCATTACATAGGCAACAGGTATTTTAATTATTTTTACTAGTTATTACTTTAAATTGTTTAGAGCTAATATACAACTTAAGCCTCTTATTGAATGATAGGTTGAGGATTCACTTAGTAGTCATCCCACTGTTCAGCCAATGTCACATCAACAACAATCTCATGCATTTTCATCCCAAGAGGTGAGCAATCATTTAATCAAAGCTTTTTTGACAAATACCATATCTTATTAATTACAATACTTGCTCTTATCAAATATAGGTTCACCTTTCAAAGAAAGAGAAGAAGAAGAACTAACAAGGTAAAAGTACCAACATCACTATTTTTTCATTTCTTACTTTTCTAAATCTATTAAGACATAGTGTGATTTGGTGTTGAAAATACAACTCAATTGCTTCATTAGATTATAGAATTCCTGAGTGATATTATAGTAAGTAGATCCTATATTAGCTTGGATTAGGTAGGCCAGGTCCCCAAAAAAGTCGTAGAATTCCACTGATTTTCCACGAGAACACAAACCTTGACACCCCTAATTCAATGAGCTGCCCACTCCCACCCCAAAAGAAATTTTTTTTTATCTAATTCTGCCATTGCCTTGTGGTCGTGCTCTTTGAGTTCATGTCTTGAGATTCAAATTTCTGGTGCCCCATATTTGATCCCTTGCTTTACATTTTCCATATTTATAGCCAGAACCTCTGTTGATTTCAATATTCCCATTTTTAGGTTCTAATTATTAAGGGCCTAATTGGTGTATTTTTATTTTCAATGTTTTCGTAAACAAAAATAAGTGGGAGCCCCTCTAGAGTCCAAGTCATCTCTTCGGTCCCTTACATACAAATTTGAGATCTCTTCTGCCACTAAATTGTGGGTTATTGTTTAACCAGTTGTCAACCTGGTTATTCCTCTGTTTAGTTCTATTCCAATAGGCATTACCACAGTGGTCAGCAAATGACTACTGTATGTTGACATAAATCAGATCTATGATCCAACGTATTGATTAAGCTCTCTGTTTCAGGATACAGATTCAATTTACTCCTATTCCCCTTATATGTACATGAGTGATGAGCCTTGAAGAGTGGGCTTACCGTTTTGGCTGTTTACATATTGTATAAAGGGAAGAGTCATCCCATAGATTGCAGATTTTTATAGACAGCCAAGGATCAAAAGAAGATGGCTTTGGCAGTAGGAATTGCATTAGATAAGCATTGTATGTGGAAGATTTTTTGTCGTACATTAAGTTTTTTGGGGGGTTTCTTTGATGTTATTGTAGGACTACTCAATTCTAGTACCTATTTAGTATTGATTGGTTAAAAAAAATGAAGGAGTTATCTGATTGGTGTTGGTTTACTAGTTCTTAGTATGTTGACAGATTGACAGCTCTGAAAAACAGGGTATAAACATAATCTTCCTCAATTTTATTGAATAGATTGCAATTGTTATTATTTCATTGAGCAAGTTGAGGGAGGTATTAAGATATGAGAAGTTGTATTGAGACTTGAAAACAATTCTTTGTATAAGATTGTATCAAGATGATGTTTCGAAAATGTTGACAGAGAGGTTGCAGTCAAAGGGGTGGGCAATCTGTTGAACCATTAAGAAGGAGGTTTCTAAGAGAGGGTAATCTATGCAAACCCCACTCTGATGGGGGCTTACTGATCATGATCGTGCCGATGTTAAGTGAACTGAGGTTCGTCAGAGAACTCCAATTGGAGACAATTCCTGTAGGGGATTTCCATACTTTCAGCACTTGAAGAGAACTGAGGTTGTATGGTAGGGCCTCGAGCTTTTTGCAGTCATAGATAAGCAAGTCTTAGATTCGATGTGGCGAACCGGAACCAACCTTCTGGAAGGGACTCCATGTTTTCACAACCTCTTATGTCCACTAGGCTGAGATTTTTGAATTCATTATTGTTGCTGCTATGGATGGCACCTGGCAAGGATTTGAGGTTCTTACAAGCATTAATTCGAATCGATTTAAGAAATGGACATAACCAGCTTATCTTATATTTCTCTCTTACAAACAGTCTTGCAATATTTCTATAATGTATATTGAGTATTCTGCTTAGTTGTGCATTTGATTGTTTAAATGAACATAACCAGCTTATCTGATATTGCTCTCTTATTGTTTCTTACCAGGAGTACGATAACTCGTGACAAAGGTACAAGGGTTGGTGGAGCTTGGGGTTCAAGCAACAAATTCTTTTTGTTTTCTTTTTGATGATTGTATATTCATGAATTTTTACAATCACAACTAGTTGATGCATGTTTGGTTGATGCAACAAACCACTAATTCATAACTAGTTTTTAATCTGATGCGGAACAAGTCATGATATGGTTCTAATACTAGTTATTTTTGTTGTTTTTTCTTCTCATTTGATCTTTATTGTTATTCAAGTTGAATGAGAATCAGTGGTGCTCTTGTTTGTTTGTTATTTATATGGAGTAGATTTGGTTTAGTTTTATTGTAATTGTCACAGTTTAAATTTAAACAAGCAAAGAAATAAATTACCACAATTTCAAATTTAAAAATAAAAAAAAATCTTCCACAGCGTTTTTAAATGCCACTAAAAATGTCAGCATGATGTCATATCTTACCGTTGGGTATTTTGAATTGGGAGATAATACCGTTGGGTTTGAATATGAATTGGGAGATAATGGTTTGAATTAGCAAAATTAACGGTGTTTATGAAAACGCCATGTAAAGGTCTACAGGTGTGCGTCACTAATGACATTATGGTGGTGTTAGTAGGACATTTTGCGGCGTTTTTAAAACGCTGCCTATAATAATATAGTGACGTCTCTAAAGCGTCATAAAATTATAGCGACGGCCGCATCTTCGGCGTTTGGTGCTAAACGCCACAAAAGGTTTTGAAGGCGTTTTTTAGACCTATAGCGGCGTTTTTTAAACGCCACTAAAACCCTGATTTCCAGCAATGAAATTTTTAGCAACTCCTAAACGGAATAGACTACTTGGCATAGTTTTATAGATTGAGGTTTTTATGCATTTTTTCATAGCTGTCATGCCTTGCGTGGTGTATTGAACAAACCGAGTGCATTAATAAAGTGTAGTGCAACAGTTGAATTGCTCAACGGTCTCTCTCTTTCTTTCTCTAGAGGTGTTTTATGTAATATATTTGCATATATTTAGAAATTTTACCTGCAATCTTTATTAATGTTCTTTCAGATTTTTCTATTTCATCCATCATCGATCTCCCACTCGCTCCATCTCGCTCCCTCTCGCTCCATCTCCCTCCCTTCAACTTCTCAGAGGTAACAATTTTAAATTTTCTATTGAATTTCTAATTATTTAAGAATTAGCATTTTTTTAGGGTTAATTATACTTTTGGTTGCCAATACTATATGAGTGTTTCCATTTTGATTTTTAATATTTAAATTGTGTTATTTTTTCAATTTGGTTCTCAATATATAAATTGTGTCACTTTGGAGGCCATATTGACCCAATTTAAAAATGGGAAAATAACAACGTAGTGTTACAGCCTTGTTGCCCTAGGCAACTATGCGGCCTTAGATGTTTAAAACCTACTTGTTGCTTGGTTTGCACCTAAGTAAACTTTCTTGGAAGAGAACTAGGAGAGATTCACACACACTTAAAGATTTCAAGAGAAGTAAACCTTAGATGTTTAAAACCTGCTTGTTGCTTGGTTTGCACCTAAGTAAACTTTCTTGGAAGAGAACTAGGAGAGATTCACACACACTTAAAGATTTCAAGAGAAGTAAACCTTAGATGTTTAAAACCTGCTTGTTGCTTGGTTTGCACCTAAGTAAACTTTCTTGGAAGAGAACTAGGAGAGATTCACACACACTTAAAGATTTCTAGAGAAGTAAACTTTCTTGGAAGAGAACTAGGAGAGATTCACACACACTTAAAGATTTCTAGAGAAGTAAACTTTCTTGGAAGAGAACTAGGAGAGATTCACACACACTTAAAGATTTCTAGAGAAGTAAACTTTCTTGGAAGAGAACTAGGAGAGATTCACACACACTTAAAGATTTCTAGAGAGAAACAATTCTAGAAAGAGAAGCTTTTGAAGAATGATTGTTTTGTATTCACTCGGATGGTTTGGGCAAATGAGGTCCTCCCTTTATATAGGCTACCAAGAACATCCTAGAGATATAAGGATTGAGAGGAATCTAGATCCTTCCCTTATCTTCTCAAATATCTATTCTAGAATATACAAGAATAATGTACAAGTTTCTAGAATTATGTACAAGGTTCTATCAATCTTTTGACTGTTCTAGAGAATTGTAGGTTATTCTATTTAACCTCAAATTTTATAGCCATTCTCTAGAACACTTGACCAGACGTGACAGTAGTGTAGGCTTAAAAAAAATTAGTTTTAATAATTAAGATGTTGTACCTTTCAAATTGACACGATTTTAAATATTAGAGACAAAAAATAAAACAAGACTCAAACTTTGGAGACAAAAAAATATAATTAATTTTTTTTTTTTTTAGGCAAACAAATTAGCCATTGTTGATGGCCTGATGTGTTTAGTATTTTCATTATCCATGGATCCTGTTCTTTATTGATTTTGTGCTTCTTCTTCTGTCTCTCTCGTATTTATTTATTTATTTTCTTGGTGATGTTCTCTTAGGTTTTGTTTGATTACAAAGAAAGTGAAAGTAAAAGAAACGAAGTGAAAGAAAAGAAATAGAAAATAAAATATATTTTCTTGCAAACATTTAATTAAGATGAAAATTTTGTAAGAAAAATATAGAAAAATTAAAAGTTTAGTGTAGATAACTTACACATTCAAAAAAAAAATTATATATTTTCTTGTGTTTTTTTGCAAAAATTACAAAATTAGTTACAATGCTAATATGGATTGTACAAGAAAATTAGTTTTCTTATACTTTCCACCACTTTCAAGCTAAATAAACTCATAAAAGTTAAATTTTTTCTCTTTCTTTCACTTTCTACCTATTTCATCCTATACAAACTGAGTCTTAATATTACCTTCTGTTTTTTTCTCTAACTTTAATTGAGTTAGTTTGCGTGGATAATTAATTGCAATAAAGCTACAGACCATAATTCATATATATGTGTATATATATATATATATATTATTTATCAAAAAATAATTCATATATATTTATCAATACTATTAGAATGAGTACATTTATTTAGCATGTCCAGGAAGGTGAATCAGAGTTTGGCCACATCACTATGTTCTTTGCATGCCACACATAGTACCCATTCACTTGTGTTCACCTGTGACACCCCTGTTCCGTAGTATGTTAATTGGTCCTTAACATGATATGATTTTGTGTTCCACTATGTGAAAATATGTGGTTTGAAATTTTATCTGTTCATCGTAGGAATATCTGTTTGAGTAGTCTGTTTTGGAAATTTAATTGAGGGCCTTATCGGCCACGGAACCCGAAATTGACTACGCCATTGTGGTTGGCATAATTTTTAGGGCCTACGGTGAAATTTAATTGAAATTTAATTCTGGCCAATTTAAACTGATTAAATTGATAAATTAAGCACCCCATTATTTTATATTAAAATATTTGTTAGTGGGGCTTGTTGTATATTTGCATTGCACTCCCCTTTAGCTCTCTTAAAACTCAAAATCTGAGTTAGACAATTGAGAGGGAGAGAGAGGCCGGCCATGGAGAGAAAAAGGGAGAGATTTGTGTAATTTGGGCTCAAGACTTGGGAATTCGAAGATCTAGCTCAAGATTTGGCTAGAGCTTGAGTATTGAAGCTCTTAGGGTCAAGCTCCAGGGCGCATCCACAAGCCGATCACTGTGAGTAATATCAATATTTGAAAACTTGTCAATGTCCAATTGTTATTCCCCTATAAATATTATGAGTTGTTAATTGGGATTGTGGACAAAAGTTTGACATGAATGAATGGGCCAAAGGCCAGAATGTTTGGAACTACAGTTACTTGACTTGCATTTCGTATAGTTATATATATTTTGCTGTTAAACAGAAGTATGAATTGGGCCCAAGGCCGTTTGGAGCATGTTGATCTACATATTGTTATGTAACTGTTATATTTGATATTATTCACTGGGCTATCGCTCACGCTCATTCATGTATTTGTAGGTGAGCCAAGGGAAGTCCAAACCCAGCCCCAGTGAAGTCTGCTAGGAACAACAGGAGTTTTGGGAGAGTCAGCCTTGTGCCTCGCGCATGAGACCATCCTTGCCCTTTTACTATGTACCTATGTTGGAGTAATTAAATTAAAATTCAAAAACAAATTATTTTCATAAAATAAGAGACAAATTTCTCTCTTTTTGGAAAATTAAAATCAAGTAAATGTTGATTCAAGGGGGTTTCCAAAATAAGTGCCCCATCCTTTGAACCTATAAATAGAGGCTCTCATTCATGGAGAAAGGGACATTTGGTTGAAGACTCTGCGAAAACTCTAGAGATTCAAGCACAGGCTCTCAAGCATTCTCGAAGCTCTGCCAAAACTTGAAGAAACTCATCCACCTATTCAATATTCGTTTTGATTTTGCTCTTCGTTAGTTTTATACAAACATCATAAATATGATCAAATTAAATTTCAAGAATGTAAATAGAATTGCTAATGAAATAAGATATTTGACTTTAAAAAAAAATTTAAAAATTAAAAAAAAAAAGGGCACACCAACATAAAATTAATGTGTAAACAGATGAGCAAAAAGTCATTATCATATGTATATCCAAAAAGGTGAGTTATGAAACTCCAAAATACAGTAGATAAATATAGAAGAAAAAAAATAAATAAAGGAAGGAATAAGACATTAACCAATTTTAAAAG